AAACTTATATCTCCTATTTAACCTATCTTTGCAACATTTAAATTACAGATTTGTTGGTACATGTATATCATTTACTAGCAAGATAATCTTGCACTATTTTTTATTGATTTTTAAATTAGTTTTGTTTTATGTCTTATTTATATTAATCATGCATTGTTGGAGGAGCCTGGGACTTAAGATTGTCCTTGTCATATTTACACTGTAGCTACTGTGTATAAGACAACAAAGCTTTGGAATTTAAATCTTTGAATCTTGCATTTGCCATGTTATCCTGATGTTTCACAGTTAATATCAACGGTCACACTTCATATCATGATGGGAAGTACTATGAGACGTGCTCTGACTGCCTCCTGTCCGAAGACACCACCTTCCTCCCTGATGGAAAGTCTAAGGGACGATACTTTTTCCTCTTCAGTAAGACTTTCCATTCCCCTACATTGCTGATTTGAGTAAAAATACAAAATGTTTGGTTCATATTCTGACCATTTGGCATCTCCTTATCCTCACCACCTCACCCTCCCTGTTTTTTTACTCTGTCTCCTCTTCTAAAGCACGGACTGGCGCTCTGGAGCCATCTGAGTTGGAGATCTTTAAGAAGCAGGCCGAGTGTCTACAATTCCTGCCGGAGTACTACTTTGGAGGAACAGGTCAGTCGTCTCTTGACCTTTAAGGACATTTTCTTAATACTTTCTTCACTATACATCAATCATTTTTCTCTTTTTTCAGATCTGTGTCCAGATGAACGAGAGCCTGCTCCACCGGCTGCTGAGAATACAGAGAGTCAAATGGATGAGGAGCCTACTGCACAATAAAGCAGAGCACCGAAAAGTCATATCCCTGTGAACACCAAACATATCCAACTTAGTATGTACTTAGTGGTGTTGTAATTTGCCCTGCACATGCCCTGATATCTGGTTGTACTGTGGAGTAATATTTGATTAGGTGGTCCGGTTGTTTTCAGCAGCAGCAATGAGTAAAAGGCCTTTGGAGAGTAATATGTGGATTTATTATCTCTGCCTGCTAGGCTATTTGACCGATTATGATTTAGTTTAAGGAAATGTGACATGTCGATAGCTCATAGCATAATTTGGAGGGTACTGTAATGGCTGAAAAATCCACTTGAACCACTCCTCAAATAGTTGAGTAACAATTTCCATCTTTTAGTTTGAAGTAAATAAAAGTTTTCATTCTCCTTCTGTGTTGTTTTCTTGCCCATTTTAATTTCTTTGTCTTATTCTCTAACATTACTTTGGCCTTATTCATGTACGTACACTAGAAGTTAGCAGGCCCATGTTTCAAGATGAATCGCTTCATCAAGACTACTTCAGCTTTTCTCAAACGCCCCGCTGTTCCCAGAAACTTCAACAAAGACTGTTGCCGGGTAACGTCTCTGCGAGGGGGAGAAACTTTGAACCTGTTGCCACAAGGAGTCCATTCAGACCAACAGGGAAACAACCTTCGCTCTAGTGAAGAAAAGCACCCTCAGGTCCTCTCTGAATGTTTCAACAGCCAGAGACAAGTCTTGGCACTTGCCCGAGTTCACTCAGGGTCAACGCTACGGGAAACAGAGGCCTGGCCATTCAATGCTGAGCAACAGAAATCTGCATGGTCATTACAAAAAACGTTACTGTCTGCAGAAACCACCTCCTACCCGTTAAACGCAGTTGCACAACGACTTTTTTGTTGTTGTTTTGTACCCCAGAGGGAAAATGAATCAGCATTAGAAGATTCCCTTTGCAGGTTCAGGGACATCTTCTGTATTTCTGCTGACTCTCCGTCTGACCATGGCTCTGCGTGTTGTGCTTCTGTTGGCTCTCTCTACCCTCAGTGCTGCATCTGCACCCGACTGCAAGGACCTGGTCAAGCCTTTTATACCAGAGGACAGCAAACTGGTAGGTTCTGTGTTACCTATTTGTCCCGATTGTATTTGATTTGGGAGGCGTGTGGTGCAGTGGATAGAGCCTTGGTATGGGGATCAGATGGACACAGTTCAAACCCCACTGCAGCAGCATGTCGTTGTGTCCCTGGGCAAGACACTTCACCCCAAATTGCTCCTGTGGGGATTGCCCACAGTATTGAGTATGTAAGTCGCTTTGGATAAAAGCGTCCAACAAGTAACATGTAATGATTTACTTTATAATATTAGCACACTTACATTAATTTTGACTTTTGATGTGAAGGTTTTTGGAAAATGGGTATACGTGATGGGAGCCGGGGACCCCAAGCCCTACCACAAGGCTCTGGAGTCTCTGAAGAGCTCCTGGATCGACCTGTCTCCCACTTCTGACAGTCAGGTTGTGACATTACGTTGGGGAGATCACTGCCTGTAAGTCTGTTGATTTAGTTCATTAAAACATGTGGGGCAGAATCCTCCTTGAATTGAATTTGTAGCACAATAAATATGCAAAATGGAAACACTTTACCTTAAAATCCCGTCTACCATACTATACATTTAATTAATGATTATAAGCACGATATAAGGTTCAAGGTTCTTTATTGTCAATCTGACATAGCTACAGAGTAATTATGCAGTTGAAAATCTTATGTCACAGGCTTCTCCAACAATGCAACATAATAACATAACATAATAACAATAAGAGCAAGAGCAATACAAAAATAATAATAGTTATAAAAATGAAATAAAGTTATGATGTGGAATAGTGCAGTATGAGTCTATATACAAGTTATTGGAATGATATATATATATTAGGTATTAGATACATACTACTGAGTAGCAGTTGAATGTTTGATGTTGTTTCAACAGTTCAATTGTTTAACAGTCTCACTGCCCGCGGGAAGAAACTGTCTCCGAATCTTCTTGTCCTTGCCCGGATGCTGCGGTAACGTCTGCCAGACGGCAACAGAAAGAACAGTTTGTGGCTGGGGTGATGGGGGTCTTTGATAATCCGTAGTGATTTCTTCCTGAGCCGCTGGGAGTAAAGGTCCTCCATGGATGGCAGCTCCGTCCTGGTGATGTGCTGTGCAGTTTTCACCACCCTCTGTAAAGCCTTACGATCGAGGTCGGTGCAGCTGCCGTACCAGGCCGTCATGCTGCCAGTGAGGATACTCTCTATCGTGCACCTGTAGAAGTTGCAGAGTATCCTGGAATCCATTTTGAACCTCCTCAGCCTGCGGAGGAAGAAGAGCCGCTGTCGAGCTTTCTTGGTGATGGTGGTGGTGTGAAGAGACCATGTCAGGTCCTCAGTGATGTGGACCCCAAGGAACCTGAAGCTTTTGACTCTCTCCACCGTAGTCCCATTGATGGCGATGGGGGCGTGTCCCTCTCCCTGCTGCTTCCTGTAATCCACAATCAGCTCCTTTGTTTTGCTGATGTTGAGATGGAGGTTGTTCTCCTGGCACCAAGATGTCAGGTTTTCGACCTCCTCTCTGTATGCCGTCTCGTCATCGTCTATGATCTGGCCGATGACGGTCGTGTCATCAGCAAACTTCACGATGGTGTTGGAGCTGTGTGTGGCCACGCAGTCGTGGGTGAACAGGGAGTAGAGGAGAGGGCTGAGCACGCAGCCTTGAGGGGCACCGGTGTTAAGAATCAGGGTGGAGGATGTGATGTTTCCCACCCGCACTGCCTGGGGTCTGCCCGTCAGGAAGTTCAGGATCCAGTCGCAGAGGGCGCTGTTGAGCCCGAGGTCTCTGAGCTTGATGGCCAGCTTGGAGGGCACAATGGTGTTGAATGCTGAACTGTAGTCAATGAACAGCATTCTCACATATGTGTTCCTGTTCTTCGGGTCCAGGTGTGAGAGGGCAGTGTGGAGGGTGAGGGCTATGGCGTCGTCTGTGGACCTGTTTGCTCTGTAGGCAAACTGCAGGGGGTCCAGAGATTCAGGGAGGGAGGAGGTGATGAATAATTTGACTAACCGCTCAAAGCACTTCATTATGATGGAGGTGAGTGCTACTGGGCGGTAGTCGTTGGGGCAGGTGATGATTGTCTTTTTGGGGACAGGAATGATGGTGGAGTGTTTAAGACATGTGGGGACTACAGACTGCAGCAGGGACCTGTTGAAGATGTCTGTGAACACCTCTGCCAGCTGAACTGCACACACCCTGAGAACACGGCCAGGGATGCCATCAGGTCCAGGAGCCTTGTGTGGGTTAACCCTTTTAAAGGATTTACACACATCTGCCCTATTTAAAACAAAAGGGCAGTGTAGCTCCTGGTCCCTCTGTACCTCCACAGCCTGGCTGCTCTCAAAGCGTGCAAAAAAACTATTTAGCTCATCTGGGAGAGATGCGCACGCAGACACTCCCGCAGCACCCCCCGCTGCTCCTTTGTAGTCAGTCATTGTCCTTAGTCCCGCCCACATATTCCTAGTGTTACAGCCTTTGAAGTCAGATTCCACCTTCTCTTTGTACTGTCTCTTTGCATTTTTTATTGCTCTCCGGAGATCATACCTAGACTTCCTGTACTCCTCCAAATCTCCCGCTGTGTGCGCGAGAGTGCGCGCTTTCAGTTTGCCGCGCACCTCACCGTTTACCCAGGGCTTTTGATTTGGGAATGTCCGTACAGAAACCTTCGGTACCACGTCATCGATGCATTTCCCAATGTAGCAGATGACAGTGTCCGTGTGTGTGTTGATGTTATTGTCCTCAAACACACTCCAATCCGTGGATGCAAAGCAATCCTGCAGTGCTGAATCTGACTCCTCGCTCCATCGTTGTACTGTCCTTGTTATCGGTCTGTCCCTTTTAAGTTTCTGCTTGTAAGCAGGCAACAACAGTAGTGAGATATGGTCTGATTTGCCGAAGGGAGGGCGAGGGAGAGCCTTATATCCATTCCGGAAAGGGGAATAAACATGGTCCAGTATGTTTCCCCCGCGCGTCGGGAAGTTGATGTGTTGGTAATATTTTGGCAAAACCTTCTTCATGTTGGCGGTGTTGAAATCTCCGGCCACAACGAACGCCGCATCTGGCCGTGAAGTCTCGGTTTTATCAATAAACCCAAACAGCTGATCGAGTGCCGTGTTGTTGTCGGCGAGTGGCTGCGGCGGGATATACACTGCTGTTATCACAACAGATGTGAATTCCCTCGGCAGATGGAAGGCCCGACATGAGATCATGAGGTGCTCTAGCTGTGCGGAACAGTCCGATGAAATAATCTTCACATCTGAGCACCAGTTGTTGTTAGTCATTACACACACACCGCCTCCCTTACTTTTCCCCGAGTTTGCAGTCCGGTCCTGACGAAAAATAGAGAATCCGTCAGGGACAATAGCGGAGTCCGGGATAGCGGGGTTGAGCCAAGTCTCAGTGAGAATTAACACGTTACAGTTCTTAATGTCCCGTTGAAAAGCAATCCGGCTTCTGAGTTCATCTAGCTTATTTTCAATGGATTGAACATTAGCCAGAAGAATACTCGGAAGAGGGGGCCGATTCTCACGTTTTCTTAGTCTGACCAGCAACCCGGCCCGGCATCCTCGCTTTGTCTTCTTCTTGCGTCTCTCAGGTAGAACAGCAACAGGTAGCCATGGTGAATCTCCATTGTCTGTCGGAGGGTTAATATTGTCCACGAAGTTTCGCAATTGGAGAAGTTCCTCTCTGCTATATTGTATGGCAGAGTAGGTGCGGTCGGCTAGCATGTTGCGAACCATGTTAAAAGTAAAACGGCAAAAGTAAAAGAAATATGTACAAAATATGTACAAAATACGAAAATGGGCAAAGTTGGAGAGGAGCACGAAGACGATGCGGCCATCTTCACCGGCGCATCACGCGTGTTTTCGTATATAATATACATTCCATATATATTTTCGTATATAATATACATTCCACACAGGGAAAATGTACATTGTTACAGCAAGATAGAGAGGACAATATTAGATAAAAGGCATGCACATAGTATTTAAAACAAGAATAATACAAATAATTTCAATTTACAGAAGAACACATCGCTGTTAGTAGCAGCAGTATTTATAAAATATAAGAGTAAAAATCAGTTTAACATTGCAGAATGAAATGTGGTATAAAACAATGAACCAATTGTTTTACTATTTAAATGTGAAGCTTTTGAAAAAACAAAACTCTGGCCCAGCATCTTCTTGTTTCCCAGTAATCGGTGTATCTCAGGGGAGGTGAATGCAACAGTCTCAGGCATCGCCACCACATTTCGCAGTAAGTAACTCCTGACATAAGGTAAAGCAGCTTATTTCTCTAGCATGCTATTAACAAGATTACAGTAGGAGCATTGGAAATTGATCTTCATGTGAAAAATATAATCAGTCGCTCTGCTGTCTTTAAAGAAAATCTGTCAGACCACAAAGGTCATATCCTTCAGAGCTGCTCCGACTGCCTGCTGTGGACGGACACCTTTCGAAATGGAGACGTCACCGGTAGATACATCCTGCAGTTCAGTATGTTCCTCATCAGATTTTACAATTCATCTCTGAGTTTCAAATGTAGTCAGTAATTTAAACAAAACTAAAAACTCCCCTTTTTCCAGCAAGGAATGGTAAAATTGATCCTGAAGATGTTGACATTTTCAAGAAACAAGTTGGGTGTCTGAGCTTCCCAGAGAACTTCCACAGCTACGACGGCAAAACAGGTCAGTGAGTCTTCAGTAAAATGACTGTTATAAATAAATAAAAACAAAGCTGAATCTGTGTCTTAACCGGACACAAGAACGTACTCAAGTTGCCACACGGTGTAACATTTAAATATTGTGTTTTTATACAGATCATTTTAAGTAGATAAGGTACAATGCACACGATCAGAAAAATGGAAATACTGCAGATATTCTCCAAGATTTCTGTGTTATCCTAAAGTTTATCTTCTGTCTTCCTGTGTTTCAGAGCTGTGCCCCGACAACAAAGAGGGCACAGAGTGAGCAGTAGCAGCAACATTAGTTTTAAGCAAAGATATATGTAAAATGTACTAGTTTTGTTTTGATCATCATCATAATATGCTATGAAAACTGGTAAGTCGTGTGATTTTAGATTTTACATATCTACTTTTAAACCTATAAAAGAAGATGATGTACTGAAATGCGTTTTGAAAACTGTGGTGTCAAAACAGCCTGTTTTTACAACAATGCCTTTAGGACATGACATGTCATTCATTTCAGAATAAAACTTCATTATTATCCGCTCACTGTCTAATTCCTACGATTCACTTGAATCAAAAAAAGGGTTAGGATCCAAAAATGTTTTAGGTTCAAAAAGGGAAAGGTAGGCCTACTCATTGAGCAGAATGGTACATTTTGGAATATTATATTATTGGCTTATTCCTATTGATATATAGGTATATCAAGGTCTATCGCTTTAATGTTGCAGACAACCTTTTAATTTTTACCATAATGCTGATTGGCTTCTGAAAATCACCACGTCTCATCTTTATACATAATCATACATATATCAACATCATATTTAAAGTTAACTAGCCTACAGCTATCCCAAAATATCATGGAGTTAAAAGCACAATATGTGCCTCTGAGATGTAGCGGAGCAGAAGAACAATGTATATATAATTGAAAATAATAAAATACCTGTACCTCGACATTCAATATAAGTATGGTACTTAAGTAAATAGTTACATTTCACTATTGTGGATAATACTGTAGGCCAATATATAAAATTGAATGTCCATATATAAATGTTAATCTTTTGTTATTGTTCACTGTTTTCCTACCATTAAGTGACAGTATGTCTGTAGAGGGGTCATAAGTGCCTTGAAAGACAAAGACCCATCAGAAGCTGTTCTGAGATCTGATCAATAAAACAAGTTACAACAGATTGCTGTTTTCTTTAAGAGACACGAGGTGGCAGCACCGAACCTTTATCCTGATGATTCAAAGTCTACATGATATTGTGCTGAGAGGAGAAGCTTAGGATTGAATAAACTAACTGTATAAGTTATCTGAAATTGCAACTGGATAGACTTTATGAAAAAGTCACCCTCAAATGTTTAGCTACCACTATCAGAACCATTTCAGAATTTATGATCAAGCCATTTTAATAACAATGATGAGATAAATGGACAATATTTGATTGCATTCAGTGTTCAAGTGTATTGAAGTTCAGTGTCTACAAGTTAACAGTTAATGAAACTCACAGAGTTTAACATTAGATAAACACACTTTAATTATTTAGTTCCATCTCAGCAAATGCAGTTCTAAAGCTGTGAGGAGACTCATGGTAAAGGTTACTTTGAAGCCTTTTTTTTACTGTGACTTGGAAAGCTCTTTTTGTCTCTTTTCTTTCCATCTTGTCTCTGTGAAGAAGTCTGATGTTGTTTGACCATGTCGTCGGTGTCTTGCATGAACGTCTTAACCTGAGGAGACAGTAAAAAAATTACAAGTGTATATTTTGTCTGCTTTTTACCTCCATCTCTGCTCTGTTGGGGTACACACCTGGTCCAGCTGTTTCTCTGTGTCGTTTATATCAACCACTTCATCTGCCTTTTCGTCTTGACACGTCATTTCGTAGAGGTTGAGTGTCGCCATCTTGATTTGTCCCAGGAGAAGTGTTTTCTTTGATGCGGTTTCCTGAATGTGGTTCCACTTCCTCTCCTGTGTGGGGACAGGGACAACTTCATTTCACACAGAAGATCATCATTTGATTTGGTGTTAGCTTTGATGCCGGACTTTGACCCGGGGTCAGCTCTCGTACCCATTCCAGAACTTCAGAGCGCGCTTTCTCATGCTCCACCTCCATCTGGGACAGCTCGTAGTTCTTCTGCAGACGCATGAGGCGATGCTGTTCTTGGTTTGACTGCAGGGTTCTCCTCAGCTCGTCATACTTCTCACGCTTCTTCAGGTCCTTCTGAAGGTGACTCTCTCGAATGCGGAGAAGGTTCTCCATATGATCTGCGAGGCTCTTTGCATCCTTAAACTGTAACAGACACACATAGAAACCACACACAATGTAACTCCATTATTTCAAATTCATTATCTAATCAATACACTTTATGGACCACACTTGCAAACATCATACCATGATTTTTTTTTTAAATAAAGCATAAACCTGGAGGAAGAAAGAGACAGAAATGTTTTTCCACACAACAATGCCATATATTAAATGTGTGTGAATACTGTTGAGGACATCATCAAGAGACAAGATTTAGAAAGATCAAAACAATTATAAAAGTAATTGTTATGATTTCACACACAGACTATTCCTGTACAATAAACATGTTTAAATTAGATTCTCTACCTTCTAAAAAAATCCCTTGCAGTACCTTGGTCAACTTGGCCGCCCGCTCGAAGCTCACAGCATACGGAGTGAGTTTCACTAGCTGGCGCTCTCGCTCCTGCTTGCTCTGCAGCTCTTCAGCTAACTCCACCACCAGCCTCTCATACTCTGCATCCAGATGAAGAACCTCTTTCCTCTCCCTCGTTGCTCTCTCTGAACATTCAGTATACTGGTCCTGCAGGGAGGGAGATGGAGAGATTTAGTTTAGTGTTTTCAGTTCCAGCTATGACACTAAAATCAAATAACGTTAGGTACAGTTTCATATAGGAATTGTGTGTGAAATGGTCCTTCACTGTACCCTGAGAATCTTCTCATAGCTGAGGTTCATCTTGTTAGCTTTCTTAATCTTCTCCTGCCACTCATCTTCACGCTGTTGCAAATTCTCCAGTTCCTATAATGAGACAGTAGGCAAACATGACTTGGGAACATTTATGATGGTAAGTCAGGACAGTGAGCATTAAATCAGAAAGTTACACTGCGTGGGAAACATCAACACTTGGTAACTGTTCGATTTGTTAATAATAGCATTTGACACGATGAGCTATTAAAGGTGGGGTAGGTAAGTTTGAGAAACCGGCTCGAGATACACTTTGTGTTATATTTCATGGAATGCTCTTAACATCCCGATAGCAATGAATATCTTAAGTGCTTTGACAAAAAATGAAGTGGCAGATTTTTTCCGACTGTGTATTTTCAAATTCTAGCGCACTCGAGCTGGTTTCTCCAAAATTACCTACAGTACCCCACCTTTAATGAAGGAATTACAAATACATGGATTTAGATGGATGTCACTCTGGGTTAAGCAGATACCTGGAGAAAACTGACTAGCACGAATCACAATTACAAATACTGGTGGATACTTCCCAGAGCTCAGGGTCTTAAATATTTACAAAATGTTAATTTTTTTGGTAATATTATTGAAAGATCATATATTGTATGTGGTTAGAAATATGGATATATTTTTGTGGATACAGTAGAAACACAACAGAAAATGCGATATAGTGGTTTGGATTTTAAAAAAGGAACACTGAAGTTTCAAAGTGCAATAAAAATGTTTTGTCATTTATAAAAAAAGAATAATCCTAATCTCAATAATGATCCAACTAATCGTGCAGATTATAGGCAATGATCAACACATGTTGTTGTTTTTTAATAAAAATAAAATGCCACGTCATGAAAAGGTTTTGGATATTTAAGAAGGTGTGTGTATAAGTTATTGTAAGTATCGTGAGTTCCTGTTAACCTACTTCTTGCTTCTCCTGGTTCTCGTTGTCCAGGTCTTGGACTTCACTGCGTTTTTTTAGCATATCGAAGATGGAAGAGCTCCTGTGGGCTGCTGCCCGCTCAGCGCTCCCCTCCACACGCCTGTATACATACAGTATGGTTACTTGTACTTTACTTGAGTATATAAATGTGTTGCTACTTTGTACTTCTACCCCACTACAATTCAGAAGTAGCTTAAATTGTGTACTTTTACTCCACTACATCTATTTAATACCTTTAGTTACTTTGCAGATTTGGATCAATAATGTGAAATATAATCAACACTTTAGTCACACCTAGAGTAAATTCACAAGCTACCCTGCAGTATACAATGTCATTAAAACTAGCTGCACCTTTACCAGCTTTGGTAACACATTAATGCATCAATAATTATAATCAAAACATATAATAGCCTTTATAAAACGGACAAGTCAAATCAAGCAATCTGATTGGTTCTTAGCCGTGATATACTGAGCGTATACCACGGGTAGAATTGTAGTTACTTTTCACAACAAGTCAGTATCCCTCCGCGTCTGAGAAAAACTGAGAGGCGAAGTCCCGCCCATCTACTTCCGACCCATGGGACCTTATTTCGGAACAAATATGTATTGAAGTCAATGGGGAGAGAGAGATTATCTTTCGATTCCGTTTGAATTGTGCCACGAATTACACATATGATGTTTGTCAATCTTAACAAATAATTTCCATGTCAAAAAAGTCACAGTTTGTAGTAAAACTGTTGAAATATAAGACTATGAAAAATACGCAACTAGAAAGACTACAAATCCCAGAATCCCGGTCCCGCATGCTGGCTCTTACGGAACCGACTAACTCCCCTTGTGTGTATGTACAGCTCTCAACATGCCCAGACTTGTAGTGATTTTCACCTCTTTTAATACTTTTCGCCTCATTCTGAAAGAAAGAGGTGAAATGTGCCAACGTGACGGCCGTCTTGGTGTGTGGTGCGAGACGGGAGATGTAGTTCATTGAGCGGTTTCACAGAAAAAAAAAGTGTTACTTCACAGTTTTACGACACATTTTAATTTTTTTTACTTGCAAAATTATCTTTTAAATTGACAAACATCATATGTGTAATTCGTGGCTCAATTCAAACGGAATCGAAAGATAATCTTTCTCTCCCCATTGACTTCAATACATACATTTTCCGAAATAAGGTCCCATGGAGCCCCCCCGGAAAGGGAGGGACTTCGCCTCTCTATACAGTTGGGCTGAAAAGCAAACTGCTTTTCAAACTGGGACAAGAAAACAGCGGAGAAGTAACGGGGCAGAAACCCTCCTTTTTACGCAGCGGTCCAGACATAGACATCAAATGGAAAAACATATTCAGTGTGCAGTTCCTTTGGCATTAGGGCAGGGATATCTAGATACTTTCCAAGGTTTGACATAATGAATTGCGCTACTTTTAAAGCAAGCAACGATGTTTTCAAATCTGTAATCAAAAAGGTCCGCAAAAACGCTATCGACCAATCAGATTGCTTGATTTGACTTGTCAGTTTTATAAATATATTTACATTTCTTCCGTTACGAAACAAACTTACAGAGCATAAGATGGAAACATTTAAAGGGGACCTATCATGCAAAATGCACTTTTGTACGTCTTTTATACATGAATATGTGTCCCCGGTGTTCCAGGGAACTCACCAAGTGTCAGAAAACACAACCCTCTCTATTTTCCTCCATACCCAAATCTCTAAAAAAGGGGCTGCAACGGATCTGATACAGACTGATCCAGATTTGAACACTTCTATGTCGTCACAGAAGTGGCGCTACGGCTATTGGGCCAACTCTCCACCTATCAGGGGAATGTGGGGGTTGGGCCACGGCCGGCCATTGCCGCTCGAAAGCGCTGGAGACGCTGTAGTACATATGCCAGGCCTGTAAGTGGCGCTGTAGTCTGCCACAAAAGCAGCAAAGAAGACTTCCCGCCCATAGTTACCATGGTTACCCTTCTGTTTATTCTCCACTGTGGCTTGTTTTTCTCCCTCCCCAAGGCAAGCGTTTGCTCCCGCTGCTTTAATTCAATGCAATCCCTCCCCGTCGAGGCAAGCACTGTAATTCTCTCCGGTTAGTCCACCAGCAGATGACAAACACCCACCTCTCCGCCTCTTCCAAGGAACGAGGGGACCGTGCGGCAGAGTTTCAGTTTCAGTTTCTTTCGCCAGTCAAGATGTCCGTTAAAGTTTAAATCTTCCGGACAAAATTAGAAAAGTGCCGGTCAAAGGTCTTCTTTGATATTTATTGAGCTTTAAAACAAATGAATAACGACTCTATATAATAAAACACGGAGGACAGAGATCTCTTTTTCTCCCCCTCTTCTGACAGCCCAGCAGCTGATCAGAGCACGGCTCACCTCTCCTGCAGGGGGTCGTGGTCAGCAGAATCAGACCCGTAGACAGCAAACAGTACTGTAAAAAGCACGACCAATCGTTTTAGCCGGCCCGGCTAAAATAACTGGATGGCCTACCTGCCTGTCAGCCTTCCATCTGTGCACAAACTTATCTCGTGCCCTCATTGGTCATGTGCGCGTTCGTGTGTGTTGGAGGAGGGGCTCTGTAATGAAGTGGCAGATTTTCTCTGGTTGTGCAATTTCAAATTCTAGCGCACTCGAGCTGGTTTCTCCGAAATTACCTACCCCACCTTCAGTGGCGACTGGTCATTAGGGGCAGGTGGGGCACAGCCCCACCTAGTGTCAGCAGAAAGTATTACAAATAATGATTACAAAAATGCAAAAAAATAAATAAAAAAATATATAAAATATATTTTAAGATCATGTTTAATCATCTGATTCGTCTGTACATTGCTGTTTTAGTCTGTGTTCTTCTAATTAGTGTGTCTACAGTCACAGTGTGTGCCTATTGAGCTGTTTAGAGCCATGTGGGACAAAACCTGATTATGCCCCTCCCTCTCGCTGTGAAGTCAACGGTGACTGTAAAAACTACACTGCGCATGCTCAGAGTATTTTGTAATGAAATGTGTGTGGCAAAAAAATAATGACCAGAGGGGCATGGAGCTACCATCCCCACCATACGTCATCTCGAATCATTCAGAGCTGATTGGCTGTAAGTACGTGTGCCGCGAAAAGTGTGGTGTGTGAAGAGGAGACGAGAGAGCTGCAGTGACGCGTCCTAAAACCAGGAAGTAAGCTGCGCATGGCTTCCCTCGACAAAAAAGCAATGAGATTTCTCCAGAGGATTTTAGAAAATAGCTGGAAATAAGATCTGTGGGAAACGTACCTGTTAGATAAATGCACGTTTTGATCAGCCGGATAACATCCACATGTCTACCCTACTTTTATAATTTTTTTATCATAAATCTATGGATTAGATTTATGATAGACTTTTGAAACTACAAGAACATAAGGAGGACTTTTACAAAAAAGTTATAGACATTTTTGTCCAGAAGGATAGGCAAATGGACTTCATCTTCAAGTCAAGGTAAGACCGCAATTTGATTGAAAATGGGATCTTACTAAGAGAGAACAATTCAATATTTAAATGATAAAATTACATTTTTTGGGTATCCTTTTGTTGAACTGTCTGTTTAAAATTAATCGAAGCATCAGACAAAAAAAGCTTTTGAAAATAATATTATATTTTGGTTTAGGTCAAAATATAATATTTGTAAACCTGAAGAGTCAGTGCCAGTGCCTCACCAGCCATGAACCTCACTGCACGTCACTGCAGAAGCTTATATATAGACATCTACGTTTTTTGTGCCCCACCACTTTTGTACATATAAAAACGCCACTGCCCACCTTTAAGTATATTTTGATGCTTTTTTGTATTTTTACTTGAGTAACATTTTGATGCAGGACTTTTACTTGTAACAGAGTAGTATTCCTACATTCTGGTACTTCTACTTTTACTCAAATACCAGATCTGAGTAGCCTACTTCTCCCACCTCAACACGCAGGCAGAGCACATCGCCAACAACACACACACAACACTGGCTCCACACACACACACACTCACCGTGAACGCTGTAACAGCTGCTTCTTACGGACGCTCCTGGAGGTCATGACTCTTTGTTGTTTTTAAAGTTTTCACGGCGGAGTAGATTAAATTAAAAATGTTTCCAGATCTGACTCTCTTCCTCCTGCTTCTGTCGTTGGTTTGTGTTCAAACTTTTTACGAGCTCTCAGCGTTCCTCCCCGACTCGTTTCCATGGTAACAAAACAATGTTAAAGTTACATCCGCCGGCATTTCAGTGCAAAGATTGACAACTTTCAAAACAACTTGTTTTATAAACTATAAATAGAAATCGTTTATTAAAACTGTCGATTTAAAAAAAAAAAAGTAAAAATGTGCAACAAAAGTCCTTGGAGCGACAGGATCAGTGTGTTATTCTTCAGCATCAAACATGTTATTGTGGTAAATACTCCGTCTCTCCCTCTCTGCAGAGAAGTAATGTGTCCCAGTGGGAGGTTAGCAGATTAAACTAAAACTAGTCAAAGTAGTTGATAAAAAAACATGTTATTTATTCTGCACATTTAAATAATTTAAACATTAGCAATCACTTCTTGATAACACATAGTACAACTTCATCCGTTGTAGCTTTTAAATATTTTTGATGTTTTATTTATTAAAACATGTTTCTTTACACACTTTAATTAAAAGGCACTGTGGTAAACTACAGTATTTTATAGAATGATACAGGCCGGCTGAAAATCTGCTCCCCAGCTGGATTTCTGAACTAATCCACAGTTGTTTCAACATACATGGGACAGTTTTTACATACAAAACATGAATATCATTACAATTTAAATCTTAAAAATACATTACATTTACAATTACCACATGAAAAAATACAGAGCTGATACATTAAGTTGGACAACAGCATTAGATTTTGGTGTGATCCTTAAAATTATAAGAGGAGGGTACAATACAAAACACTGTCCTGCCCCATCTCGTGTTATCTGGCTGAATTAATTTTGTTCCACAAGCTCAGCACAATCAGAAGGCACAATCTGTTTCCTCTTTGTTGCTTTTCCTCCCTTCACTTTGTCATTTTCCATAGAATTTTTTATTTAGGAGGAAGATGAGTAAATTGACGTTGACTTTGGCTTTGTCGAACATCTTCATGACGGCCACGCCTTTGTACTGCAGCTGAAGGAGGTCCTGGAAACAGAATACAAACACATTCAATGAGAAAACACACACACACACACACACACACACACACACACACACACACACACACACACACACACACACACACACACACACACACACACACACACACACACACACACACACACACACACACACACACACACACACACACACGTCATTCATAGAGATAAGGTACTAATGTGGCATGTTTGCATACCTTTTAAGTAATGAACCCTGTCTATATGGTAGCAGATAAAGATATTATATTAAGTTTGTATTGATGTAGTAACATTTGTAGTACAGCCCGGTCTCTATGCACACCTTTGTTTATACAGTATGTTTGTTCATACAGATTCATTAAAACAAATGTGTCCACTGCTGTCCTCTTCATTAGAAATAGTTTGCGCTGTTTCTTTAATTGTCTAATGGGTTGAAAATGGCATTTAAGTGTCTGTCATCAAGGCTTAATGCTGACTGGTGAGCTGCTTTGTTCCAGGGAATCAAGAGGTAAATGTATACCAGGAAATGAAGCTGGACTTTTTCCATCTCAACTCCCATAAATTTGGCCTTCACTTGAAAATCTCCAACTTCCTCAGTGGGTGAAATGTCAAACATGACATTTTTGAACCTGAAAGAAGAGAGAGGCAATAGACAGAGATTAATGACAAAGTGACAACAAAGCAAAAAACCATGTTATTATATTAAACAAAAACACAAACAAAAACTAAAAAAATACAAGTCATTTTTTCACAGGACTCAAATCAGCTTAAATTAGCTTGGATATATTTGATATCTGTCTGCCTTACATTTAAAGGTGGGGTAGGTCATTTTGGAGAAACCAGCTCGAGTGTGCTAGAATTTGAAAATACACAGCCGGAAAAAATCTGCCACTTCCTTACAGAGCCCCTCCTCCAACACACACACGAACGCGCACATGACCAATGAGGGCACGAGATAAGTTTGTGCACAGATGGAAGGCTGACAGGCAGGTAGGCCATCCAGTTATTTTAGCCGGGCCGGCTAAAATGATTGGTCGTGCTTTTTACAGTACTACGGCTTCCACAGATGAAATCTTTTTATGGATTTTTTGTCAAAGCACTTAAGATATTCATTGCTATCGGGATGTTAAGAGCATTCCATGGAATATAACAAAAAGTATATCTCGAGCCGGTTTCTCAAACTTACCTACCCCACCTACCTTGTCCTACCTTGTATACAGTATATTTCGTTAAAATATGTATAAACTATGATGCAATCTAACTTTCCAACTCAGAAAAACGATAAAGAGCATGAACAAAGAACATGTAACAGGAACCAGTTAATTAACTAGTCAACAGACATCTTTCCTCTTCTTGGAAAAACATAATCATATTCTTAAGTATGTAGAAACTACATAATCTTGTTTGGATAAAACCCACACACATTTTTTGTTAATGATATAAAGGTTGATTGGAGGATAGATGTGTTCATCGACACGGTAATCAAAACGTCTCTACATGCCACAATCTAAAATGAGAAACTTCACTAAGAGTTGTGTGACTGTAAGTAACAAAGTCTGAGCCATGGTAAAGAGTTACATTAAACACCAAGCTGATCAGATAACTCACTGGTTGGTCTGAAGTCCTTCTATCTCCAGGATGACTCCCTTCTCATGAAGCCTTGCTCCAGTGTACTTCAGAGACTGGGGCTTCCACTTCTTGCTGCCCTTATTTTCTCCTTTGCTGTCCAGCTTTATAGATCGGCGTGCATTCCTGGTCACACAAAACACAGGAATGCATTAGTAATAAACACAATACATTTTGAAATCCACCAAACCATCCACACGACATTATTTACACAGTGAAAATAAATAATTCTAAAAACTTCTCCTGACAAAGTGCAAGAAGTAAATGAACGACTTACTTTCTGTTGAGGTTGTCCAGGCAGGTCTTGATGTAAGTATCATAATAGTTCATCTGGTCCTGGTAGAAGGCTGTTTTGGAGTTGAGAGCTGTCAGAGTCTGCTGGAGCTTCACCAGCTCCGCCTTCCTCCTCTGTCTGTAGCGTCTTTGGTAGCGAATGTCCTGTCAATCACAGGTTTTAGTACCACTTCACAACTTCAGAAGCTGAGCAGACACAACAATGTGTTTAGCATTGGAGGGTGGGACAAGTAGTAAGATATTGTACTTAAGTAAAAGAAGAAGTACCAGAGTGTAGGAATACTCTGTTACAAGTAAAAGTCCTGCGTTTAACATGTTACTCCAGTAAAAGTACAAAAGTATAAGCATTCAAGTAAACTTACAATACCAAAAGTAAAAGTACTCATTGTGCAAATTGCCCTAGCAGAATAATATATATTCTATGTTCTGATTATAATTATTGATGCATTCAAATGTTATCACAGCTGATAAAGGTATAGCTAATTTAAATTACTTTGTATACGGCAGGGTAGCTTGTGAATTTACTCCAGGTGTAAGTTTTGATTATATTTCTATCATTAATCCAAATCTGCAAAGTAACTTAAGGTATTGAATAAATGTAGTGGATAAAAACGATATACATTCCTTTAATCATTCCACACAGGGAAAATGTACATTGTTACAGCAAGATAGAGAGGACAATATTAGATAAAAGGCATGCACATAGTATTTAAAACAAGAATAATACAAATAATTTCAATTTACAGAAGAACACATCGCTGTTAGTAGCAGCAGTATTTATAAAATATAAGAGTAAAAATCAGTTTAACATTGCAGAATGAAATGTGGTATAAAACAATGAACCAATTGTTTTACTATTTAAATGTGAAGCTTTTGAAAAAACAAAACTCTGGCCCAGCATCTTCTTGTTTCCCAGTAATCGGTGTATCTCAGGGGAGGTGAATGCAACAGTCTCAGGCATCGCCACCACATTTCGCAGTAAGTAACTCCTGACATAAGGTAAAGCAGCTTATTTCTCTAGCATGCTATTAACAAGATTACAGTAGGAGCATTGGAAATTGATCTTCATGTGAAAAATATAATCAGTCGCTCTGCTGTCTTTAAAGAAAATCTGTCAGACCACAAAGGTCATATCCTTCAGAGCTGCTCCGACTGCCTGCTGTGGACGGACACCTTTCAAAATGGAGACGTCACCGGTAGATACATCCTGCAGTTCAGTATGTTCCTCATCAGATTTTACAATTCATCTCTGAGTTTCAACCCTTTTTCCAGCAAGGAATGGAAAAATTGATCCTGAAGATGTTGACATTTTCAAGTTGGGTGTCTGAGCTTCCCAGAGAACTTCCACAGCTACAGTACGACGGCAAAACAGGTCAGTGAGTCTTCAGTAAAATGACTGTTATAAATAAATAAAAACAAAGCTGAATCTGTGTGTTAAGCGGACACAAGAACGTACTCAAGTTGCCACACGGTGTAACATTTAAATATTGTGTTTTTATACAGATCATTTTAAGTAGATAAGGTACAATGCACACGATCAGAAAAATGGAAATACTGCAGATATTCTCCAAGATTTCTGTGTTATCCTAAAGTTTATCTTCTGTCTTCCTGTGTTTCAGAGCTGTGCCCCGACAACAAAGAGGGCACAGAGTGAGCAGTAGCAGCAACATTAGTTTTAAGCAAAAATATATGTAAAATGTACTAGTTTTGTTTTGATCATCATCATAATATGCTATGAAAACTGGTAAGTCGTGTGATTTTAGATTTTACATATCTACTTTTAAACCTATAAAAAAAGATGATGTACTGAAATGCGTTTTGAAAACTGTGGTGTCAAAACAGCCTGTTTTTACAACAATGCCTTTAGGACATGACATGTCATTCATTTCAGAATAAAACTTCATTATTATCCGCTCACTGTCTAATTCCTACGATTCACTTGAATCAAAAAAAGGGTTAGGATCCAAAAATGTTTTAGGTTCAAAAAGGGAAAGGTAGGCCTACTCATTGAGCAGAATGGTACATTTTATATTATATTATTGGCTTATTCCTATTGATATATAGGTATATCAAGGTCTATCGCTTTAATGTTGCAGACAACCTTTTTATTTTTACCATAATGCTGATTGGCTTCTGAAAATCACCACGTCTCATCTTTATACATAATCATACATATATCAACATCATATTTAAAGTTAACTAGCCGACAGCTATCCCAAAATATAATGGAGTTAAAAGCACAATATGTGCCTCTGAGATGTAGCGGAGCAGAAGAACAATGTATATATAATTGAAAATAATAAAATACCTGTACCTCGACATTCAATATAAGTATGGTACTTAAGTAAATAGTTACATTTCACTATTGTGGATAATACTGTAGGCCAATATATAAAATTGAATGTCCATATATAAATGTTAATCTTTTGTTATTGTTCACTGTTTTCCTACCATTAAGTGACCGTATGTCTGTAGAGGGGTCAAAAGTG